TGTACTATATAATAGTACAGGAAACATTTTTATTAAAAAACAAACAACAATAAAGGCACTCCAGTTACATGTACAAGAAGATGTTTTGATATTTATTTATACTGTGATCAGATTGCTACTGACCTATTTGAGAAAATTTACTACGATAAATTTCACCTTAATTCTTAGACAAAAACACTCCCACAGATTTAATCACAGAGCTCAACAAAATTAATCACTATTTTAAAAAAAATCTATTTCTATACTTATGATTTATTGGTAATAATCTTCTGGTCTAGAGCAGACTCAATTCCTCAACGAGGATATCATTTTTTTTTTTTTTCAAATTTGCCAAATTCTAATGTTTAACCATCAAGTATACCAAACATTTTTCCAAATGTTATGGATCTGTTAAATAAATTGTTGCTTTTGTGTTTCCAACAATGCTCCTTAGTAAATACAGTAAAATTCTGTCTTTGCCACTAACTTAGATGAAACAGCGCCATATCATGCAGTGGTCATTTTGTGTATTACACCCATATCGGTTTAGAACTAAATCTCCATCTGCTGGACATTTACTGCAACTACAGCTCTGCCTTTCAGGTTATTAGAGGGCAGAATAACAATCGGTAAAATAAAGGGCTGCTGGGTTGAAGTCGGTAGGGAGGAGTTTCTGAGATCCAGGGACTCCATTGGTCTGAGGTGCAAGTTGCTGCAGCTTGAGTGTTTTGTGAGGCTTTGAAGAGAGAAAAGTGAAAGTCAAAACGGCAGCAGAGAAAGACTGTTTAGTGTAAATAATGGCGAACACGGTAAGACAATTTGCTTATTTTCAATTAATTTATACCTCCATTCAGCTGCGACATTTTACATCTCAGTCAGGGCTGTTTGACATTACTGCAAATGAAATAAAAAAGGTTGGATAACGCCGTGTGGATAAATTAGATGCAAGCAGTGCAGACTGGGCTGGGGGTCGACATAAGTGGCTCAAAGTTTTGTCCAGCTGAACTTGGTCAGAGTTTCTAAGCTGTTGCCTAATATGCAGAGTACAGAGGGTCAGAGTACAGAACTGAAAGCTCTTTTCTGTTACCTCAATAGTAGAGGCTTAGGTTGTACATTTCCTAAATTGATAAAAAAGTCCCTAACCTAATTTGGAAAAAAATGTCCTAAATCTATAGCCAACTTATAAATCCTTTGCATACTTATTTTATTGCATTAAAAGATGCAAGATTGTGTAAAAAAGACTAAAACATGGAGCAAAAAGACATTGCATGCAACACAATGATTAATATAATTAATAGATTAATTATTCTCTGATTTTAAAAAGTTATGGATTAATTGATTAATATATAATTTGTTTTAATTTACTTTCATGATTATTATATTCAAGAAAAGGAAAAATCCTTCTTAACACAAGAGTATATATGAGTCTATTGAAGAGTATTAATTCACAAACTTTATATGCTTGAAATATTATTGCATCAGTGCAGCGTGGCATGGTAGTCTGAATAATGCTTGTTAAATTACAACATTTAAGTCTCCATGTCCCTCTAAGCTGTGTCCAATGCAACCAGATTTAACACACAGCACAAGTAGTTTTATGGAGAAAAACATGGTGGACCAGCAACAGCCCCTACCAGTTTTACACCATATTCTGTGACTGCACAGACTTTTTGAAGGACAGGAGCGGAGAGAAATAGAAGTGCAACCACAGTAGAGGGCACTTTTAGCACAGATTTTGGCTTCCAAGGGTGCACTTTAGCTAGCCTTTTGTCTCCCGAAAGGGTATTTTAACACGTGTTTTGGCTGCCAAAGGGTCACTTTAATGTGTGTTTTGGCTCCCAAGGGTGCACTTTTCAACACATTTTGGCTCCCAAAGGTGCACCTTGTTTTGAGTCCCAAGGGTGCCCTTTAGTTAGACTTTTGGCGCCCAAGAGGGTACTTTAACACGTGTTTTGCTCCCAAGGGGGCACTTTGTTGGCGTATTTGCTCCCTAAAGGGAAATTTAACACTTTTTTTCTGGTTCCCAGGGGGGCACTTTAGCATGTCTTTTGGCTTACAAAGGGTGGCACTTTAAAACGTGTTTTGGCTCCCAAACTCTCACTTCGTTTTGGTTCCCATAGAGTCCACTTTAGTTAGCGTTTTGGGTCCCAAGAGGAGACTTAAACATGTTTTCGCTCCCAAGGGGGCACTTTAGTTTGGATTTTGGCTCTTGAGGAGGCAATTTTTCATGCGCTTTAATATGTGGTTTGGCTTCTGAAAGGGCAGTTCAACACGTGTTTTGGCTTCCAAGGGGGCATTTAAGCATAGGTTTTGGTTTCAGAGGGGTCACTATAATATGTGTTTTGGTTTCCGATGAGGCAATTTTGCATGCGCTTTTGCTCCCAAGGTTGCACTTTAACTAGCGTTTTGGAATATTTTATACATTAATATATTCCTCTCTACCTTAGGATGGAGGCTGGGATAAAGCTAATCTTCAAAATGAAGCGGAGTTCATGGACATACTGGAGGACCAGAGACACTGTAGTGACTTGAGGTTTGCCTTCAGGACCTTTAGTCCCCCACCATACAAAGGAGGGCCAACCTGCTCCACCCCTGAACTCAACCGAGCCGTGCTGGACTCCCAGTATCTACGCTATGTGATCCAAGAGGTAGGCCTGTGGCTCAGAAAGCTGAGTAACTATGAGAAGTGTCACGTTGCAACAACATCAGCATGGAGTCATGGCTTCTCCCTTCGTTATTGTATAGGTTGCTGTGGAGACGGGGTCATCTTTGGAGGAAGTGAGAGACGAAGCAGACAAGACTTTGCAGGAAATGTCTCAAAATCTGCAGTTGAGGTTCATCAGGCTAATGGCGTTTACATTCAGGAAGGTGTTCAAAAGACTCTTCAGCGCTATCTACGTCAACATGGAAGGGCTCAACGCAGTAAGTGGGAGGAGGGTCCAAGAAACCAAATAAACTTTTTCTGTCACTCACATTGGTCCTTGACAAGCGTGAAGCCTTTTAAACAGAAACAAATATAGTGCCATCAGAAGTACCTTTAAAGACTAACATACAGGAAAGGCTGCAAGGACAAATAAACTATTAGTAAGTGGGAAAAGAGATACAAAGTAAAACAGGTACAGAAACAACAAGCTACAAATACTTTATCCACCTCATTTTTTTAAACATGGTGGTGGTAATATTATGGTTTCGACTTTTAGAATTGATCCTACACCAATACAGTTTTCCTCTATTAATAAAAAATGTGTTTTTGTTTCTTTTTTTCCTACCCGTATTTACATAATAAAAATGACACCATAACAAATGCTACACAAATCTCAATTCAAACAAAAATTAACAATAATTACTAGATCAAAGACAATTAAATGGCAAATGAAGTGAATAAAAACTCATTCACTTCAGATAATCTCAAAACATTGCTTCTGAATGCAGTAATGAATCGGCCAACATGTGCAGGTATAGGTGCCAAAAACCCTACTAATATCAGTCAAAAACATCAGCCGATATATCTGTCTAGGAGGTCTTTATTTTTTTTTAATGTATCTTATTTCATATTTCTTTCTTTTTCTTCAGCTCCAGCAAGCTGCTCAGGAGTTTCCTGTTATCCTGATGCCCAATCACAGGAGTTATATCGACTTTCTGGTTGTCTCCTACATCTTGTTCACATACGACATACCCTTGCCTGTAATTGCTGCAGGAATTCGCAAGTATCTATTCAGTTTGGACCAGTCCAATGTTATTTTAACAAGCTAAAAGTTATCCTGACAAGCAGACTCACCTTTCCTTTACCCTTTACTATTTTCTTTTCTCCTTCCTCATTAAAGCTCTTGCAGGGATGAAGATGGTGGGAGAGATACTGAGGCGGTCTGGGGCTTTCTTTATCAGACGTGCCATCGGCTCTGACAAACTCTACTGGGCTGTGCTGTCAGAATATGTTCGAACAATTGTCAAAGTAAGGCTTATGATTTGTCCAAAATATTTACTGATGCTCCATTAAGAACTTGGTTTAAAGATAAAACAGTGGCAATATTTTGTTTTTCACACAAGATTCAGGTGCACCGGTCTCTCTAATCCACATAGGCTCAAATTATTTGCACATACTTGGATATAATTATTTGCGTTTTTAAATGTCCTATAGCGAGTTGAAAAAAATACAGTGTTTGCAGCTGTTAGTTAAATCTGAGCATTATTCTGGTAGGAAAATGGATCAGTCTTTATCAGAAACGGCCGAGGTTTGTTAAATTGGTTAGGTTTCGGAAAAGATTTTGCTCCAAAGGTAGTACATTATACATTATACAATCCAGGAACCACCAATTTGCATCACACATCTTCTACTCAACAAAATTTTTCCTACATGTGAAAGCCACATGCATTCTGGAAATTGTGCTATTTGGCCACAATAACCCATAGACTCTTTAGAGAAGTCAAATAAAGGCTTGCAAACATTAAACACCGTAGCTTCTGAGGAGCAAGGTGCTGGTAGTAGAAAACAGATGCAGTATTGAAAGCCTGCTTAGCTAGCTAACATTATGGATTATATTTATTTTGGGTGCATATTCAACCTGGTAGATTATGGATTATTTCTTTTTTTACATAAAGTAATCATGAAAAGTTAGCTTTAAATCAAAGCTTTGTCCGAAATGTCTCACAGGCTATTTTATTAACAAACAAATATAGATGTACACGAGAATTATCACTGCCAGATATTTAATAATAATCCTGTCGAATTAAAATTATAATGCAACGTACAGCATCTGGTATAAGCAAAAATTTTTTTTCTGAAATCTCCATTAGAAAAATTTAATGTTTAAAGTCTTCAATCACATCCAGTCCTAGGGTGAATAGAAATGAAGTGGAATCTAGTTTTTTAGTCGAGACCACACCAACCGAGACCAAGGTGTATCAAGTCTCACTAATGGAATTAGTATGTATTATTTTGTTTTTTAGTGAAATTAACAGAAAAATGTACAGACAATTCAGATTGCACACTCAGGCCTTGTTATTTAGATATACTTATACTGTTCACTGAAAAAAGAGCTGTTTGGATAAGTCATTAAAACCTTCAGATTATTATGAATCATGTTCATGATGGAAAATGTTTTCAAAGGTTAGTTTATGAAGTATTTTCATTTCAGATTTTATTGTCAGCTAAAGGAGGTATCTTTTCATTTTCAAATGTTTTCTGTAGAGTGGATTTGCTCCTCTGGAGTTTTTCGTAGAAGGTCTCAGGAGTCGAACACTGAAGTCCCTCCCACCAAAATTAGGTGAGATTTTATCTGTCAAAATGGTTTCCTTTTTCAGAGCAGGTTCTAATATTTTTGGACCAATTTATAAATGTTTTTGTTTAATTCCGATTGTAAATTTCTGTAGGGATGATGCACATGGTCCTGGAGCCCTTCTTTAAAGGCGAGGTGTATGATGTCACCCTGTTGCCCATCAGTATCAGCTATGACCGGGTGCTGGAAGAGTCGCTGCTCGCACACGAGTTACTGGGTGTCCCCAAACCCAGAGAAAGTACCACAGTATGTACCTCAGTGTGGCACGCAAGTCTAGATTATGCTTTACACTCTTTATTGGACCCTGATTTTAAGTGTTTTGTCTTTTACGTTCTCGTTCTCTCTGCAGGGTCTGCTGAAGGCCAGCAAAGTTCTGCAGGAGAGTTATGGCCGCATGCATGTGAACTTTGGCCGCCCCTTGTCTGTCCGAAAGCTGTGTGAGGGAAAGATAAATCGCTGCCAGTACAATCTTTTACCGAGGTAGGGAAAAAAACACTTTCTGAGCTGTTTATTAGTGATTTCCTGATAGCAGAAAATATAATGCAAACCATATTTAATGTGTTTTAAAGGAATGTAATAATTTGTAGAAATAACCTTTCTTTGTATTATTAAATATATATTTATACTAAGTATAAATATATATTTTTTAAGTGTTGCAGTCTTCCTAATGAAAGGTGACCCTCCAGTCCTAAGGTTTCAGCTGCTTCCTGGAGTTTTTCCTCACAAAATTGCTTCTTATTTCGTTTTGTCCATCTCTCCATCAGCTCGTACGGTTTATTTGTCTTTTAAAGATCGGCATCGCCATAGAATGATGTGAATTGCATTGACTAATAATGCATGGATTCTCCCAAATGAGGTGTGGATCTCTGCTCCTCCTCCATCGCTACGGGCCTCTTGGCTGCTTTCCTGAATAATGCACTGGCTGTCTGAGGTGTCAATGTATTTGGTCTAAAAGAACCTTTATGGGCCTCTTAGTACAGCTCTATTTACACAACATAGTGGACTCAATTTACAAAGAATATGGTTTCATATGATTTTATTTAATGATAAAGTAAAAGCATTGTATGCTATTTTATTGGTTTGATTATTAATTTATTAATAACTATAACTGCAAGTTAAAGTTAATTTATTATAACCATCAATTACCAGGTGTTATCAACTCGCTCACCCGTGATGCTGGACATCTGGACAAGCTGCTAAAAGCCAGTTTGTATTTACCACCAGTAAACATCAATAACTTGGATTGGAAGCAGACTTATTAATCATTAACCACAAGGAAAATATTGTCTTCTCAGGTTGTTAAATAGAAAGGAAGCTGATTCAGCCGGGGCTGCAACTAACAATTATTTTTCAAAACGATGAATCTGTTGATTATTTTTTCAATTAAAAATTGGATAGCCAAAGGTTCTTTAAAAATATTTTTAACAAAATTAAATCTTTTCAGCATATTGACAGACAAAAGATTTAATTAGTTTAAACTGAAATTATTTTAGTATAATTGCTGCTCAACTTGGTTCCTCTGTCGACTAAAGGCACATTTTAGAGTTTCTACACTCTAACATAGTTAAGGATTAATCAATTACTAAATAAGTTGACAATTATTTCAATAATTAATAAAGATTAATTAATTCTTTTAGGTTCAGCTCTGATAGGCATTCGGTCACTGTAATAAAATGATCACAGATAACAATTAGGATAGGGTGACCTTTTATTAAACTTAAAAATCTCTATCATACTATTACTATGTTTAATAAAATATGTGAAAAATACCAACTACAAAAAAAATATACAGAAAAATGAACTAGTAAGCGTAAAAGTAATTGAGTCCTGAAGGTAGAGTCTTTGACAATATTCACTTATTTAGCTCTGCTTTCATGTAACTTGACTCCGTCAGATGGATTTGCTCTGCATATCCATCTGGAAACCTTCGGTTGAAGTAATTTTGGGAAGGGGCGAAAATACTGGTTAGCTGATTGGCCTATGTTGGTGATAGACGGGCCAAATAAACCAATAAGATCAACGAAGCATATGACGTACTAACAGCCAGGCTACTCTTGCCGAAACCAGTCGGGAGAAGAGCAAAAACATCTTTTCCTCTGAGAAAAGCCTCCAGAGCAGTGTTTTGCTCTTCTTTCAGTGAAGAAATACTCTGTAATTCCGATAAAACTTGCTCGATAGCCACGCTAACGCTAGTTTCATCGGCTGAAGCCGCCATGTTCTTTAGACTGAACTGTCGCGCTTCTCGTTGCGTCACACCTCAACCCGCCTCAAAGCCAACGCTGATTGGACGTTCGTTTGGTGAACGGCTCCAAATTTTCTTCAACGGAGAGTCTCCAGACTGATCTGCGAGTGAAATCTTGAAAGCTCGCGAGATCAGGATGGTCTGACGAGGCTAGCTTTCATGATGTTCAGGAATCAGAACTGGCTCAGCAGCAGCAGAATGATCTCTCGGATGCAAAAGCTTAGCCAGGAAAGAGTCCTCTTTTATGTGTTATTTTGTTCCTCAATGGATGCAGACCACAGACTCCTCGGCTTTTAGAAAAAAACGGCAGCAGAATAGGTGATGCTAGGTTTTAGCTCAAGCTACTTCAAAAAGTAGGATGCAGTCACTTTACAAAAAAATAAGGACCTCAGCTCAACATTTCCACCACTTGGAACATGTTGGCCAGCTTGAACGCCGGAGTCTCTCCATCCAGACTGAGGGTCCAAGTGGAAGAGGACATGTACTTCCTGCTGTCAGCTTTAAAACCAGCTGTCCCAGGATTTGATTTGCAGTAATCCAGTTCTCCTTGAACTCCACAACAAGGGGTTGAAAGCAAATAAATGTTAGTCATTTGGTACATTTTTATTTTCCCTTCACACTTATTAAATATTCAGGATGAATCTTATTACATCGGAATCACTGTCAAACACACTTGATATTAGATAGCTTTGCAAAGCAGTGGGATTTTCGCTGGTAGAGATTCTCAGTCATCCAGCTCATAGTCATTACAAAAACATAAAATCTACTGGACTTTGTTTCCAAGTTTGAAGCAAAGCAAAGCGAAACATCTTCAAACTTGGAAACAAAGACCAGTAGATTGTTTTTAATTGTCTTTTTTTGGAACAGTGGGATTTTCCTTTTTGCTATGAATATGTTTTTCCTGTACAGTTTTGATCAGCTTCTTCTTTAGAAATAAAACAACAAATTCCATCATTTGTGTTTGACCTTTAACTTTATATAATCCATCCAAGATGTCTCTATTCCATTACAGGGATCTTCCTCAGAAGCCCAATGCAGAGGCCCAGGCCTGTACAAGCTGGTTGGCTCATCTGATTGTACGGATCCAGGAAGAGGGTAGCCTGACCAGCCCCTGGTCTCTGATGGCCTGCGTGTTGCTCCAGGTTCCTGCTACAGCCTTAACAGAACAGGGTCTGCTGTTTGATCAGCTCACAGAGAAAACCCTCTGGCTCAGGAAGCTGGCCCTGGATTGTGGGGCTCATCTGAGCTGGCCTGGTGGGTGTAGAAGTCTGCATTTTTTACTCGTTTCCCATTTATTTAAAGGCGATTTACAGTAAATAAATGTACATGCCTTCAACGGCCATTAGGTGGCATTTGTTCTTTGTTTGTTTTTTTTGCCATGTACAAAGGTCACTCCTTGAGGACAGATCCAGATCCTTTGATCTGCTCTGAAGCAGATCAGATAGATTAGACGAATGTGAGTCGGCATCAGCACTCACACTCATTTAGGGCGTATTCAGTGGATTAAAGCACCTTAAGTGATTTAGGCTAAGAGCGCAATACCCGAGCTGGCCTATTTTTAAAAGTCTTCTGAATGCACACAAACACCTATCCGATTGCATTGAAAAGCTCAAAGTACATAATGACGTTGAGGTTGCTTTTTTACAGAGAAAGTCTCCGATTCAGAGGTGATGTCTTCCACCATCCTTCTCCATCACTCCATTGTGTACCGTAAAGCCGGATGTGTGTACTTGGTTCGGGCGGATGAGCCTGAGCGGAAACATCCAATAAGTCCAGAGGAGGATGTGATGAGGACGGCGGCTGCGTTCCTGATGCTGGCTTCATACCGGAATCAGTGCCTTCATGTTTTTGTGCGACCTGCACTCCTTGCATTGGCCATAAGCATCACAAAAAGCACACAGAGAGGTGGGGGTGAAAAGATTTGACACCTTTTCTTTCACAAAATAACTTCTTTAATTAACTTATCATCTTTTTACAGATGAGATCTTCACCTGTTTCTGCTTCCTTCAAGAAGTTTTCTCCTACGAATTTATTTTCATCCCTGGCAGATCTACTCAGGTAGATGAGCCTTGGCTCAGATTCCCATCATCCTGTGATTAAAATATTTCTTTTTAACTCGGCTGCTGCCATACTGGGTGAGCTCTTATGGTAGAAACAGGAGGTGTAGCAGTATATGTTCTTATCCCAACCTTCATTGGACATCAAAACATGTACTTTAATTGCTTTTTGTAAATGAGAGGATATCAGCTAAAGCAGAAAGAGAAAGAAGGAAACGAGGATCAGATTTTAGGATCCACTTGTATTTTCTCAATAAACAGGTTTAAATGAGCCTGTGCTAATGATATTATAGCTAAAACATAAACAAGCACTGCCTAGAGTTTATTTGTTGCCAATTTATTTAGTTCTCTATCTTTCTTTTTGCATTGTGTAATGGAGGCCAAATTAATTGTGACAAAAAAGAAAAAGAGAAAATTTGATCAGTTTAATAAAAACTGATCAAATTTGCTTGATCAATGTTTTTGATTTAACAGCGGCGTTGCCCTGCTGCTACACGCAACCTTAGAGATTCTTCCTTAGCAAAGATGGTTTATTTTTCTGTTTTAAAACAAGTGAAAAGAAACCCAGCATTTTGACTGGTTTCATTTTCCTCTTGCACTCCACAGTTGACTGAAAACCAACAGGGTTTGCAAGCATTATTCCCCTAAGGTTTGCCTATGTGTCAGGCAAAAATAGAAAATGGTCCAATTTAAGTCTGGTAGAATGGAAGAAAAACCTTAATTGCTATGTGCATATTTACTCTGCAGCACTCAGATCTCATTGGTCAGAGTACTGATAGATAATCCAGACATTCTTTTATCAGGGTGTTTTTCTGTAACTGTACTTCTGTGGCCAATCTGAGCAGGATTTATATTATTTCTGACAGATCTAAGCTATCCATTTTCCATCAGATGGAGATTAAATTTGCCATATTATTCCACTGCAGCAGAAAACTATGCAACTTTAATCTTACGATTACTGATTGTGGCTAATATTTGTTTTCCTTTGTTTTTGCCCTATGTAGGACTTTGAGGAGGCATGTTCTCTACTGGAGAAATGTAAAGCAGCCCATGTCAGTCAGTGGGAGGTGACGGTTTCAGACACTGGGCTGGAGGTGCTTTCTTTCCTGCAGGAGCTGCTGAAACCCTTCATAGACTCTTATCAGGTTAATTTTCTTGGAATTTGTATCATTAATTAGAAAATATTAAAAGGGTGAATTTAATTAAATCCACCCTTTTAATTAAAGCCTAAATTTGTCCATTTTTGAAAGGTAGAATGATACATGATGTAACAGACTTTTTTTTTTATAGTGGTGGTAATTGTTTATAATTATCAAAATTAACAGAAATATATGTGTTAAATGCGTCACTGTTTGTTGATTTTTTTTTTATTGAATTACTGAAATAATTTAACTTTTTAAAAGACGTCTGAATTGATTGAGATTCACCAGTAAATTGCACTCACAGACTAAATTTTCCCTGAGCAGCTGATGTTCAGAGTCCTCTGTGAGGAGAGAGACGGTTCGTTCACAGAGAAAGAGTTTCTGCCTGCTGTGCGAAGCGTTGCCACAAAGCTCATCATTTCAGGTGAAATAGAAATTCTCAGGATTGAACCCTGACCTCTGGCTGTTAAACCTTCTTCTAAATCTAAATAAATGTTTTTTTTTTCAGGAAAACTCCAAACCTATGAAGCCCTTTCATCGGATGTACAAAAGAATGTTTTGTCTGCAATGAGGAGGCTGGGGGCTGTCACAAAGATAAAAACGTGAGTAACCAAGATCCAACCCTGAAAATCCGTATTATTTAGTTTTTCCTCCACCCTTATGAAACTGTATTGTTATTTCTGCAAGTTTTGATGTAGTTATTTTCTGATTTCAGATCAGAGAGTCTTGAATACAAAGTGAACAAATCAGCTGTGAGAAGAAATGCAGACATGCTTGGTAAGCTGATTAAAAACTGAAGTCCTTTTTATCCCTTTTTGCTTTTCTTTTGTATTATATTGTTGTATAGTATCCTTTAATTTTTTTGCCAATGATACCAGCTTTTGTTTTCTATGCTGCAGCTGGAAGAATCCCTCCTCAGATTGTCCAGGCCGTACCTGATGCCAGACTGTAGACTCAGTTGGAACAGATGCCTTTTTATAGTCACATTATCCCCCATATCTCTCAAACTGGGCCATTTTTTGTCTCCCTACATATTTTCATGCATTTCTGCTGTAACTTAGGGAGAAAAAGTAAATCCTTTCGCCACATTGACTGAAAAATTGCTGTTAAAACAGAGAAATTGATAAGGAGCTAATTGAAACATTAGAAAGCATAACCTAATACGTTTTTAGTATTAACTTTAGATATTGATCTATTTTGCTACCTGTTTAAATATTTCTCATAATTCAAAAATGTATAAAGTAATTATTAATTTAGAGTCCATATTTTTTAATTTTTAGGCATATTTTTAATGTAAAAATCTATGGAAATAGTTGTTTTATAAATATTGATAAAATGCTGATACAATTCTATTAGTTTTATATATATATATTGTTATTATTATAACAGTGTTAATTATAATTATATATTATAATTGATATTTAATGATAATTGATTAATTTTCGACTGTGTTTGATTGATTGTTGACTGACTGTGAGAATAAACAAGGTATTTTAAAATAAACTAGCTATTGAAGAGGTTTTATTGACTTGAATGGGAAATATTTTCGATGTGTTATCTAGTAGTGTTTATAATATTAAAGCTAAGTAACACTGTCAGTGTAAACCCAGCCTGGTGATGAAGTATAGATTTAGGCCCAATCCGGCCTCTAAACACTAACCTTGAGCACTAACCCTCCGTTTGCGCGTCCCCGTGGAGGGTCCACCACACTAAGGGGTGTCCCAAACCACGTAGTTGGTAGGGCGAGTGGATCGTTTAGCCCTTACAGAGAAACAGCATCAGAGAGTCTGCATCAGTGCAGGCTCTTTGGAATTTGGCAGTGGCGAACTAGGGGTGGAGGAAACTCATGCATTCAACTGTAAGTTTGCTGCTTCTTTGTGACAGAAAATCATGAGTTAGGAAAAAAAAAAAAAACGTCACTAATCCCTAGAAGCTACAGCCATGCACATAGGGCATCACTGTGTTGCCATAGGAACGACTGCTTTCCGTTGTAGGGAAGAGGCCATCCATTTGACGTCTATACCCCACACGTACAACCAAGGCGCCTTCCACAGCTGTGAGTGGGACTTTATTGTGAGGTGATAGTTAAGGGTTAGTGGTTACGGGATGATTTCAGATTAAGCCTTATACTGTCTACCGTACCCTGCATAAGTATTCACCCTTTTCTTTTAGCCTTTTTCTTGTTTTGCTGCCGCACAACCTGGAAATAAAATGGACTGTTTAGGAGTTTGGGCAATTTCATTGACGAAAGTGTGTTTAAGATATTTTATTTTGTTTGTCAGGAAACAAACATGTAGGAGAAAGTTAACAGCAAACTTGAGGGTGCCTTAATATCTGTGAATATCTGTTTTTTTTTTTTTTTTGTCTGCCAACACTAATCTTCAAGCCTAGCCACAGATTATCATATAGATTAGATCAGCAGTCCCCAACCACCGGGCCGCGGACCTGTACCGGTCCGTGGGTCATTTGGTACCAGGCCGCACAGAAAAAAGTATTTTGAAAAATATAAAAAATTGCGGTATTCTCTCCCAATTAAATCAGTCGGTGCATCTGTGCCTCTTGACACAGGTTAATTCAGTTCAAGACTCATTCTATCTTTGTGAAGCGGGATTTTCTGCGGTTATAGCAACCGAAACATCAGGCTTCCGTAGCGTCGTGAACGCGCATGTGCGCGCTTTCAGGAAATCCTATACACTACTGTTTATGCTCTAAAAACATTCTAAATGACTTTGTTTCGAGTAAATTCTGGACGCTACCCACATTGGACGAGCAGTATGGAGGAATATTGACACGTTTTTTGTGGACTTTTATGGACCTTTCTGTCTCGGGCGCCATAGACCTCCATTATTTGAATGTCAGCAGACAGCAAGAAGCCTCCCAGATCTCCAGATGCAATTGAGATATCAAAAAAGTACTCCAGAGTGTTGTTCAGCATGGGGGTGAGTAGAAAATGGAGGCTAATCATGTTTTGGGTGTACTATTCCTTTTTTTGTTTTATTTTTATGCTGTTTGTATTTGATTTCATGCCAGTCGTATCATTTTGGTACCATATAGCGGTCCGTGGTGCAAAAAAGGTTGGGGACCGCTGGATTAGATCATACCTTTGACTAGACTATTCTAACACTTTTAAAAGATTTGCCTAGACAGGTCATTCTCAAAATACTAGCATAGTGTGATAAAGTTCATTATTTTCCATAATGTAATGATAAAACTTGAACATTCATATATTTTAGATTCATTGCACACTAACTGAAATATTTCAGGTCTTTTATTGTCTTGATACGGATGATATTGGCATACAGCTCATGAAATGAATGAATGACCTGTATTTAGCGTTTTTTTTTTCATCAGCTTAAACCCTGCTGCTGCTCCTAACTGCATGATGGTGCCACCTTTTAATGAATAAATGAAAGGTCTACTGGGATGTCTCCAGTTTGTGCCAGACATGGTGTTTCCTTCAACTGTTGACTCATTTAATCAGGAGCTCCTTCCTCCGTTGCCAACGTGTCTTTTTGGCCATTTAAAAACATCCCCTTTAATATTTACCACCAAGTAATGGCTTCGTAAAACCCAAACCTAACTATGTTGTTGTGCTATATGCCATGATCATGGTTTTTGGACATTCGGAACCAGTGTCCATGTGACCGCTTTTGGAGGCCTTGGCTCCAAAAGCGGTCACAGGCCATTCACACGGTAAGTCACAGAGGTGTGACTTCCCAGCCTCCTCTGTGTTGAAGACGAACAAAACCACAGAGAACACAGGATTCTTTCTCTTTCCTGCTCTCTTTTCCCATTGGGCTGGCTGGGGTGCAGGTCCAATGGTTCTCCACCACAGTGGAGATCCGGGCCCCAAAAGACCCAGATCTCCAGAATCATTAAGGATAAGGAATTATGGTGACCTTTCAGAACCAAACTACTGCAAAACAAACTTTTTGCAGTATATTTCTCTTGAGTTTCAGAACCTATAGAGCCAGACTGGATGAGAATGTGAGCCACTGAGACAAACAAATAGCTGGTTGTTGTTAGCCTGACCGCTGAGCTGTTGCTGGATGAAACTTAAGCCTTCCAAATGAACAGGAATGGTTTGCAGATCTGGCATAATTAGGGACAGAACAAACAATATGTCTTTAGATGATGATGATCATTTCATGTGTTTAATGATGAGTGCAGACGATGCAAATAGGATCGACGGCATGTTCCACTATGCTTTACAGAAACGTGTTGAGCTGTTGTTGAAGCTTAGATAAGCTTTATTTCACTAAGTGTTTAAACACTGATATAACCTTAGTGCTCATGTGTTCCTCATATGCTCATTACATTTCCATTACCATGTATGACCAAGAGTCATTTAGTAGAATCCTGATGTCTATTCGCTGCTAGCTATTTCAAAGAGGGTAAAGAATCTTTTAACTAAAGGTTATTCGTGCTTGAGTAAGCAGATAATTTAATAAAACATTATTTGGACAAATAATGTTTTATTCACCTCATTGGTTTGCATTGTGAATTGGTCTGAAAACATTCCAATTTCTCTAAANCTGCAAAACAAACTTTTTGCAGTATATTTCTCTTGAGTTTCAGAACCTATAGAGCCAGACTGGATGAGAATGTGAGCCACTGAGACAAACAAATAGCTGGTTGTTGTTAGCCTGACCGCTGAGCTGTTGCTGGATAAAACTTAAGCCTTCCAAATGGACATGGACAGAAATGGTTTGCAGATCTGGCATAATTAGGGACAGAACAAACAATATGTCTTTAGATGATGATGATCATTTCATGTGTTTAATGATGAGTAAAGACGATGCAAATAGGATCGACGGCATGTTCCACTATGCTTTACAGAAACGTGTTGAGCTGTTGTTGAAGCTTAGACAAGCTTTATTTCACTAAGTGTTTAAACACTGATATAACCTTAGTGTTCATGTGTTCCTCATATGCTCATTACATTTCCATTACCATGTATGACCAAGAGTCATTTAGTGGAATCCTGATGTCTATTCGCTGCTAGCTATTTCAAAGAGGGTAAAGAATCATTTAACTAAAGGTTATTGGTTCTTGAGTATGCAAATAATTTAATAAAACATTATTTGGACAAATAATGTTTTATTCACCTCATTGGTTTGCATTGTGAATTGGTCTGAAAACATTCCAATTTCTCTAAATTAGTGGAAAGCTAATTTGATTATGCCCCAAATTCTCCCAGATAAATTTTGTTTTTCAAACACAAAATCCATCTTAAACTGTAATTCTTCCCCGTCCTCTTTCTACATAGTAGTTTAGTTTAGTTGAGTTCCACTAGTTTTAGTTAAGAGTGTTAAACTGAAATATGTTTGACTTGGAGCTGAATGATTTTTGTTGATAAAATCTTATATTTTGAACAGAAGTTGTGGTGAATTTATTCCATGTATGTGCAGAATAAACTGTTAGTGCTCGTATCACTCTTTCATGTATTGTTCTATCACACAGCTAGTAGGGCGTGTGTTCATAAACGGTATATAACAGCTGAAATAATATCTGATAAGATATTTACAACCCCTACTGGGGAGGGCAATAAACATCTAGCTGGCTGGGAATTTAATAGAATATAAATCCACAACATTAATGTGGCATCCAACCCGGATGAGGATTGGACATAAGATCACAACAATGTATAGGGTGAACACATATGCACATGCCAGTTGCAGTGTATTTTTATAACTTCCTTTTTTTTAACATGTGAAATTTTAAAATCTTAAATTGTACTATTTTCTGTAGATCTAATACATGAAATAAAAATGTACAAAGTGTAATGTAACAAAAAAGTAAATGGTGGGGGTGGTGTAATTCTGCTTAGTGTGTATTTAGTCTTATATTCTTATATTACAAGAGGCATTGCACAGATTGATTATTTCATTTGAGTCTCCAAAGCATTTAAGCCCCATTTCTGTCTTTGTTTTATTCCCAAATATACATGAAATATCATGTGGTTTAAATGTTTCACTTCAGATACTACTTGCCATGAAAATCTGATTCCACTTAAAGGAACAAAGTTAGTTTATGATTCAATTTGATCATCATATAGGTTTTACAACATAAAAGTGGAAAACAAAGCAGAAAAATGGCTCACTACATGCTTTTCTGTAAGGGGCAATCCACATTTAAAGTGAACTTGAGGGATTTTTACACAAAAGTCAGGCAGGTGATTTTAAGAAGTTAAGAGCTCAACTTTGTTTGAGAAATTTATTTTCATTTCTTTACATTGCAGCAAGTGCAAAATGGGTATAACAAAACGCACCATAGGTAGTGGTCCTCGTCCACATCGAA